TAAACTGCCGTTGTCCGCTATATTAGTTAATTAAGTATTGCATGACTCAGCAATTATGGTTGACTAATATCGAGATGACTTTAACATTTGTAATCCAAACCAACATCAAATAACACCTTCAAAAAGGTGTCCAAACATGAGCATTACTAAATCATTCACGGTACAACAATTAAACATTTTAATAAATGTCAGGGGTATTGATGAAGACCAGTTCTAACCCACAATCTTCAAGGAACCCAACAACGTGTTAAAAACATGTAACTAGATCATTTAGTGACATGCTTTCAACAAAAATAACAATCGACTAACTTTTAGCTAACAAATGCGAATTGTTTTCCGACTTATTTCTATTCATTTTTATTTTTTTGAGTGCACCCAAATCTTTGAACTCTCTTCTACCCGAACCCCCAGCCCCAACCCGACCCCCTCCACCTCCCAGAAAGCACCTCACGCTGCAGATATGACGAAATATCAGCTTACACGCGAGATGCAACTTGAAGGAACTCGAAATCCCATCCTCTGACAGAATCTAACCCGACAAAACGACATGTAAACTTGATTCAAGATGTCCGCTTCTGTCTCAAATCCAGTCACATTTGTTCCAATGTAATTCAGTTGTGCAGACACGTCTGCCCTTGATCATTGCTTACCGTAGCAGATTCGACGCGAAATGTGTAAAATTCCAATCAGATTATCACCGACACAGTGACTTCAACAGCCAGCAGTAATTCACGGCCTTCTGTGTTGTCGGCGTAATCACATTGGGGCTGTATGCACCATGATATACATTGTACTTCGGTTTTTGTATTAAAGAAGATTGCTTTAGATTCCCGTGGAGTAGATGCTTGTTTGATGCTGCATTGAGAACACGTCACGTGACAAGGTGTAACAGCGAGCACCGTCATTATCACGTGACACTTCATGGACGCACGTCCAATGCCTGAATTTGTGAAATTGATGGTCAGAAAACGTTTCTGTGGAAGTGTGAACATGCGTCATTGGTGGTGTCAACATGAGTCATTGGAGGTCGAACATGCTTCATTGATGGCGTCATTGGTGGTACGAACATGCATCCTTGGAGGTGCGAACATGCGTCTTTGGTGGAGGCGAACACACGTCATTGGTGGTGCGAACATGCTTCATTGGTGGTACGAACATGCGTCATTGGTGGTGCGAACACACGCCACTGGTGTTGCGCACATGCGTCATTGGTGGTGCGAACATGTGTCCTTGATAGCACGAACATGCGTCATTGGTGGTGCGAGCACACGTCATTACTGATGCGAACACACGTCATTGCTGATGCGAACATGCGTCCATGGTTGTGCGAACATGCGTCATTGCTGTGCGAACGTGCCTCCTTAGTGGTTTCGAACATGCGTCCTTGGTGGTGCGAACATACGTCATCGGTAGTGCGAACACGCGTCTTTGGAGGTGCGGAAACACGTCATTGGCAATTCTGCGGTCTTGGATAGAATGACACGTGTCCTTCTTGTCATTTTGTAAACACAGGTCGTAGCTGAAATGAAGACGTTATATGAAGACGCTACGCAGTCTACAAAGTATCCTGTCTGACTCTAAAACATTAATGCCAACACACGTTTTTATATATAGGAACGCCCCAACAAAACACACCCTACCCAGAGAATTAACGTTCCATTTCAGGCCCAGCAAACATCCCCAGAGAATCATTTGTTCAAAACATACCCTACCAAAAAGAAGCATCGTTTCTCAATACACCCTCCCCAGAGAATCAACGTTCCTCACTACATCGCCTACACAGAGAATCAACGCTCCTCAATACATCGCCTACCCACAGATTCATCATTTCTCAAACACACACCCTACCCAGAGAATCAACGTTCCTCAATACATCGCCTACCCAGAGAATCAACGTTCCTCAATACATCGCCTACCCAGAGAATCAACGTTTTTAATACATCGCCTACCAACAAATTCAACATTTCTCAAACACACCCTCCCAAGAAAATTATTGTTTGTAATTTCCCGAGATTCACCGTTGCTCAATACACCCCCAACCATTAGCCAGATCAACATTGTGCAGTCTCTCGTCTGTGGTGCTGGAATATTCCCAGAAAGGTCATCCAGATAAGACCACAAACATTACATGCAGAATAATGTTTTCCAGGAGCCCTTTGATTTCCATTATAATGTTTAACTTTGAAGTCACGCACATAAAGACTTCAATCAAAGTTCATCTTCTTTAAAAACAAACACTGAATTGTTTTGGACGAGAAACATTAACCTCATCTCCCTGCGTTTTCTTTTAACTTGTTTCGTTATCCTCCTTTGTAGGGGTTTTCAGGCTTATAGTTTCCATTGTAGCTGGCACACATCCTATATTTAAACTACAAAGGAATAATTATCCCGTTTCAATGAATTCTGGCATATCAATATACACGACCAATGAATCGATAAGCAGTTTTGTAACAGTTCGTGTGTATTTAAATATGTGTATGTCATATTTCTTCCACTGGTGAAGCTGATTGAAAATACCAAAAAAGGAATAAGCCAAAATTATTCTAAATGGAATTGGCGAAAAACAGCTAAGTGAACACAAAATGTTCACAATGTGTTCAGGTTTCATTGCACAGAACATCAAGCTCATTTTAGGAAATCGTTGAATCTTAAAACTTAAAACTTCTACTTATAATGTATTATATTCATGCCTTCAAGGACATTTGTCATTTGACTTTGAATCTTATGACCGCCTCCGTGGTCCGAGCGTCCGCCCGGAGAGTGGAAGGTCGGGGTTCGGTCCCCGGCCGCGTCATACCAAAAGACGTTTAAAGATGGTACTTGTTGTTATCCTGCCTGACTCTCGGCATTAGGGGGCAATAACAAGGGCTGGTGGGCGGTCAGTATGCTGTGTCTGAGTGGGGTATTCATGAGAGAGAGAGGGGGGGGAGAGGGGGGAGGGAGAGAGAGAGAGGGAGGAGGGAGAGAGAGAGAGACAGAGAGAGAGAGACAGAGAGAGAGAGAGAGAGAGTGAGTACTTTATAAGTACAAGATCTTGGTTGAACGCGACCTTAAAGCTCATTTCGCCACACCTCATCTCACCTTGACTCTTACAAAATGGCTATCATCGCAAATGTCCTGCCGCGTAAGTTTGACCAGGACGTCTCTCTTGTTTATATAATTTGTCATTGAGGAGAACTAGATGCTAGTTACATGTATAAGACTGGGCGTGAATCCTGTCGGCAATTGTCGAGTCTTGACTGGCAGTTCACTGGTTATGTCGTCTGCTTCAAACTATCGTCTGCTCCCCCGCTATTATTGGGAGCTGTTAGATCGGCTTTTATGTCGGCTACTTTTAATAATTCAATAAATTAGCTTACTTGGAGTATATTTTATAGCATGGCCGAATCAAGCACCAATTAAAATTCGCTGGAGTGAGAGAGGCAATCCCTACTCGCGGTCCAAACTGCAACCAAGCAGAAGAGATCCGCTGGTGGCAATCTACCGTGCGAGTTAATGGCGGAGCAAGAGGCCACCTCGGTAGATGTACCCCGTTCTCTTCCGCTCAACTTACCACGAAGAATCAAGCACACATACCGAAGAAGTTAACGTGGGTCTCTACACAAGATCGGCAACGCCAAACCACTGCAATACACGTTCAAAAAAGTAGTTCTCTAAGCATATCACTATCACCGCTCCGGGGCGCCCGTGTCGTAGGCTTAATTCAAGGCTCGCACGCTACACTGAAGAGCCACAATACTTGCCGGAACCAACAGTAATTCAGGCAGGGCTGAAATGTTTGGATTAGATCATTTCCAATGATAAGTACGGCAATAAAATTTAGATGGGCACCCAATGTTGTGTTTGTGACGTGGAAATTGAATATACCCGATATTTCATAGCATACCCCATTCTTACTCCACGCCTCCCCTGGGAGTAGAAGCGCTTCCTATTCTTGTAAGGAGAATGCTGTATAGACTGGTTCCTTCTGCTCCGTGGCCCCCGCTCTGACGCCGCACAATGTCTCTTTCACTTCGGTGATAATAACGTCCCTGCTCAACTTTTGTTCCCAAATCGTAATTGCCAAAGAAAATAGCAGCTCTTCGTGATGCAAGGGTCCGGGGATCACGTGACATGACCTGCTCATGGCATCTATTCGGGGTAGGTGCGCTTCGGGCGGTAGTACTTTCCTTAAAGTGCTTGATTTGATTATTTCGTTCTACTCGGTGCTGAATTTTATGAATCCGAAAATAAAAGAATAAGAATTTTAGATTCGAGTAATAAAAGAGTCTCGATGACTGGAAATCTTACGACATTTATGTGTAGGGGGGAACGGCGGGTTTTGTTAGATGATGACGTAATTCGGAAAGGTTGCATACCACCGCCTCTCTATCGTCCGCATAGTTGTGCAGTTAAACAGACGCGCAGATTTCCGTAGATTATTCCCGTGGACGTATCTGTTCAAGTTGAGGGTTGGTATCCTGGGGCCAGGCTACGTGGTTGGGGCAAATACGTCCTTTCTCTGCTAGTTTGCCCAACCTACGAGAAGTGAATATATCGAACTGCCGTTTTAAGGACATCACACTCAACAACAAAATGTATCGATTACGTTAAAAACGGAAAATTCTACTCTGCTATGTTAATTAGAATATGAACTGTCTTACATATTTGCAACAACTCTCGAAAATAGAATAGTACTTTGGTCCTAAGGTCTTTCAGTGAAATAGAACTTATCCTATTTTGGACATGTATTGTTGTGAATGTTTCATGGTGGTCTTGAAAAGAGCGAAATGATTTCACTCTTCACATTTCGGGCTTTTTCTCCGCTGAATCCATCCAAGCTCCAACCTATCCCAGTTCAATCCAATCCCCACTCCACTGAATCACCGCTCCACCCAACCCCACTCCACCTAACCCTACTTCACTCAAGCCCACTCCACCCAAGCCCCTCAAACCCATCCAACCCAACCCACTGCCCCAACCCCATTCCACCTGTTCCAAACTAATCCCTGCTCTCTTCAATGACCGCTCCACCTAACCCCACTCCACCCAAACCCACTCCACCTAATCCCGCTCCACCCAACCCCACTCCACCTTATCCCACTCCACTCAAGCCCACTCCACCTAATCCCACTCCACCTAATCCCTCTCCACCTAATCCCGCTCCACCCAACCCCGCTCCACCTAATCCCACTCCACTCAAGCCCGCTCCACCTAATCCCACTCCACCTAATCCCACTCCACCTAATCCCGCTCCACCCAACCCCGCTCCACCTAATCCCACTCCACCTAATCCCACTCCACCTAATCCCGCTCCACCCAACCCCGCTCCACCTAATCCCACTCCACCTAATCCCACTCCACCTAATCCCGCTCCACCCAACCCCGCTCCACCTAATCCCACTCCACTCAAGCCCACTCCACCCAAGCCCTCTCCACCCAAATCCATCCAACCCAACCCACTGCCCAACCCCATTCCACCTGTTCCAAATTAATCCCTGCTCTCTTCAATGACCGCTCCACCTAACCCCACTCCACCCAAACCCACTCCACCTAATCCCGCTCCACCCAACCCCACTCCACCTTATCCCACTCCACTCAAGCCCACTCCACCTAATCCCACTCCACCTAATCCCTCTCCACCTAATCCCGCTCCACCCAACCCCGCTCCACCTAATCCCACTCCACTCAAGCCCGCTCCACCTAATCCCACTCCACCTAATCCCACTCCACCTAATCCCGCTCCACCCAACCCCGCTCCACCTAACCCCACTCCACCTAATCCCACTCCACTCAACCCCACTCCACCTAATCCCGCTCCACCCAACCCCGCTCCACCTAATCCCACTCCACTCAAGCACACTCCACTCCACCGAACCCCTCTCCACTCAAACCCATCCAACCCAACCCACTGCCCCAAACCCATTCCACCTGTTCCAAATTAATCCCTGCTCTCTTCAATGACCGCTCCACCCAACCCCACTCCACCTTATCCCACTCCACTCAACCCCACTTCACATAATCCCGCTCCACCCAACCCCGCTCCACCTAATCCCGCTCCACCCAACCCCGCTCCACCTAATCCCACTCCACTCAACCCCACTCCACCTAATCCCGCTCCACCCAACCCCGCTCCACCTAACCCCACTCCACTCAAGCACACTCCACTCCACCGAACCCCTCTCCACCCAAACCCACCCATCCCAACCCACTGCCCCAACCCCACGCCACCTGTTCCAAACTAATCCCCGCTCTCTTCAATCACCGCTCCCCTCAACCCAAGCTCTCCACCGCTCCATTTGATCCCCGCTTTCCTCAGTCACCATCTCCTCAATCCGAGTTACCCTCAATTCCCGCTCAATTCAATACCCGCTCCTCTCAATCTTTGTTTATCTCAATCACAGTCTCCTCATTCCCGAAACCAACAAAATACCCTCTCCCCTCAATCCTCGCTCAACTCACTCCCCGCCTCAACTCCATCCTCGTTTCTCTCAGTCCCGTCTCTTCTATCCCCTCTCAACTCAATCCCCGCTCCTCTCAAACCCCACTTATCTCAATGCCGTGCTTGGACAGCCAGTATCTACTGTCGTGGCTGGACAACCAGGTGCATGGGTCCAGTATATACTGTCGTGGCTGGACAACCAGGTGCATGGGTCCAGTATCTACTGTCGTGGCTGGACAACCAGGTGCATGGGTCCAGTATCTACTGCCGTGGCTGGACAGCCAGGTGCATGTATCTACTGTCGTGGCTGGACAACCAGGTGCATGGGTCCAGTATCTACTGCCGGGGCTGGAAAGCCAGGTGCATGGGTCCAGTATATACTGTCGTGGCTGGACAACCAGGTGCATGTATCTACTGTCGTGGCTGGACAACCAGGTGTATGGGTCCAGTATCTACTGTCGTGGCTGGACAACCAGGTGCATGTATCTACTGTCGTGGCTGGACAACCAGGAGCATGGGTCCAGTATCTACTGTCGTGGCTGGACAACCAGGTGCATGGGTCCAGTATCTACTGTCGTGGCTGGACAACCAAGTGCATGGGTCCAGTATCTATTGCCGGGGCTGGACAGCCAGGTGCATGGGTCCAGTATCTATTGCCGGGGCTGGACAACCAGGTGCATGGGTCCAGTATCTACTGCCGGGGCTGGACAACCAGGTGCATGGGTCCAGTATCTACTGCCGGGGCTGGACAATCAGGTGCATGTATCTACTGTCGTGGCTGGACAACCAAGTGCATGGGTCCAGTATCTACTGTGGTGGATGGAGATATACCAGACTCTATGGCGACTGCGTGCTGGCCAGGCTGTACGAATTATTACCAATGCTTTTAATGTCCGCCTGAGAACCATCTACAGTCGTCATAAAGCCTGGTTTCTCTGATTCTTCGTAAGTCTGGGCATGCTCTAGTATCGACTCAAGAACGATGGATCCACGTATTGGGGTGCCGGTTATCAGAAAAGGCACAAGGAAACGCAAGTGAATTTTGATTTTCATGGAAAGCATTCGGAATTTTGTACTATGGTCGTTTGTTAAGCTGCGTTTGGGCGACCCACATATCCATATTTATGTCACCTTTTGGCCGTGAAGATTGAATTTGGATACAGACTAATGTCAAAAACGTGATACCTAAAAAATGCGTTGATATATCAATGGGAAACTTTCATGAAGTATTTTCATGAAGTGGCGTTTCTTTTGGGGTTCAGTGCCTGTGTTAAACTGTGTTCTATTCAGTGAGATCACCCTATACCAATCCCAATTTATTACATTTCGTGCAACCGTGTGAATCTGTACCGCTCCACTCGCCTCCCAATAACACCTAATATTAAACACGCTCACAATCTGTACTTCAAGTGCCGGGGGTTTGATTACTCCTTGTCAGTCACCTGCAAACAAATTAAACAAGTACACAAAAGCGGGTTCAGTGACTCTAGTCCTTCAACTTTCCCATAAGCTCTGCCAACACTCTCCATAGTTCGATCTGAAAGCGGAAATTCAATTTTGCCACGAGCAAATGCTATAACTGAACTGCCTTCTAAAGTCAGCTCAATCGTTGCTTCACTTTTCATTTGATCAAAGAAATATAGACAAATACATACTCCTACGAGCCGTGACTCTTTGCGTGCAAGAAGAGGTTTCATCAACTTATTACTGTAAAAACCTCCCAAGCCATGGAACATATTCAATCAATTTTTCGCCTCGCGAGTTGAGCGAGTAGAATATTAAATCAGGTAGCTATAATATAAGATTACCACCTTTCATAGAAGTCAATAATACTCCGCCGAATCCGATATGACAATAGGCTTTTATAGGAACACGGAAGATTAAAACGTCCAGTCGGGTATGCACAAACAGAGAGCTAGGCCGCCCAAACCATGGTATATCCAGTATAGATGACAGTAGGTAGGGCATACCGATATATGCAGAGCTCTATGACTTGACGATTGAAATACAGATTCACCATGCATCGAAATATCCCGGCAATATACCGACTGAATTAATATAGGGGCATACGCTAGTTTAGTGTGGTGTTCCTAAGGTTTATGTAACAATAATATTTTATTTATTGACGATATGTTGTATGAAAAAATCAGATATTTATGTTGTTCGTTCTGTTATATTTATTACCGCAGGTACCAACTGTTGTAACTTTTTTTTAACAATATGAATACCAGTTATGCAATGAATACATTATCATAAAGAGGTGGTGTTAAAATGTCCATACCATGCATACATTACATACAAGTACTTTTCTTATGCTAGAATCACTTGCCCGTAGAGTGGAATCTGGTGGCTCGATCCCCGGTCGTGTTGTACCAAAAGACGTTACAACATGGTACATGTTGTAACTCTGCCTCTGCGCGCGCACGAACGCACGCACGCACGCACACACACACACACACGCACACACACGCACGCATGCATACATGCATGGACTCCGCTACATAAGTGCAATAATCTTGAACGGGACGTAAATTTATTTTTTTTCCTCACCTAATCTGTCAACCTAACTAAACATGTCACAATGTACATCATATCAGTGTAATGCGAAATAATTATGAAATTAAACTTGCAATCTGTAGAAAATGACGAAAACATATCGTCCTGTTTGATATATCGACATATACGGGATCAAGTGGGGATTGGGAATGACGCAAGAGGTTTTGTTGTATTAACATCTAGCATCGATAATATCGATTGAACAATAATTAAGTAACCATTAGACTATCAGAATATTCCTCAGTGCAGTACATGCTAGAAAGACCCATGAAGATCCGCGAAGAATACGTCTTCAGGAACCCATGCTTGCCGAAAGAGGCGACGATGGGGATCGGGTGGTCAGGCTCGCTGGTTGATGCATGTCGTGTCCCAATTTCATGGATCAATGCTTGTGATGTCAATCACTGGATTGTCTGGTCGACCCTCGAATATTTACAGACTGTCGTAATATAGTTGGAATATTGCTGAGTGCGGCGTTAAACAACAAACAAAACGTGTTTTGTTACGGCTGAGGTAGCCAATGGAATGTAACGCCTCTTTGAACAGAACTCCAGTCACCGCAGCTGGTCAGCTTGATGTGAGAGGAAAGTGATGCAGGTCTTAGACATTTACCGCTTTGGTGAAACCCACAAGCACAGGTATGGTGCTGACAAGTATCATAATTTGTAGCAAATCCAGGATTCAAACCTCCGAACAGTGTATGTACGAACCACATCAATACAGTGTCGACAAGGCACTGATTTCAACACACAAACATACCGTAACTCAAACGTGTTCGTGAATATATCCGAGTAATTGCAACGTACTCAGAAACCTCACGTCCTTGCAGATAACGCCCTGCCACTGGATGAAGGCCCGGGAGCTCAGTAGGAAACGCCGGTCTAATCTCACCGCAATGCCGTGTGAGCCGCACGAGACGTGAGCCGTAGAGGTTGTTTAACATCCGGGACCTGGGGACAGGAAGAGCGCCACCTGTAAATTGGAAGAGCTCTTCACTAAACTGGTAAGAAACTAAAAAAAGACAAATTTGCTTCACACCTGGGCTGTTGGATAGCCTTGTTCGGCATTGAACAGAAGGGTGGAACGCGTAGGTCTAGTATATGCCTTGAAAACGTCAAAGTAACGGGTAAAAGAAAAAACATGCATGGAAAAGGCTCCATGCTGATGAAAGAGAGACAAAGCTCCATTGCATGGAGCCAATTTCATACCAGGTCCAGACAGTGTAATTTGCGCGTGCGTACAACCGATTCTGTAATTAGGGTCAACATGAACTGCAGCATTGAATACCTAATAAACGTTGAACTAGCAGACAAACAAAGTGGCTCCAGAGAGTCTTGAGAATCAAATTTGCTGGGAAAGCCAATTGACCCGAGTCTGGTCCCCCTTTAACAAATTTAAGGACCCTTCAATCGTTTACCCCCAAAGGTCATGGCGCATACTCGAAGTCACCAGGCCGTCTGTTTTGGTAACGAGTTACTATAGTACCTCTTATTATGTGTTCACTGTTATGTGTGGTAGACGTAAATTGTATGTCGTATCTGTGAACGTATATACGCAAAATGAGTTTTATGATTGTGTTGTCACACACGTTATTAATTAATCTTTCCTGCAGTCTGTATAATAGTGGCAAGTCCATCATGGCGGGTTCTCTGGTTGTGTTAGTTTACTATTCAGAAACTACTAATCATACTAAACCGGCAACAAGAAGCACTTGAAGCACTAGTCATAGAACCAGTCTAGAAAATCCAAAGCGTATGATTCTGTTTTGTTTGTTTGTTGTTTAACGCCGCACTCAGCAATATTCCAGCTATATGACGGCGGTCTGTAAATAATCGAGTCTGGACCAGGTAATACAGTGATTGGCATCATGAGCATCGATCCACGCAATTGGGATACGATGACATGCATCAACCAAGTCAGCGTGCCAGACCACCCGATCACCCGAGC